CATTTGTGGGGATATTATGTGTTTTGGGGTACTTTTGGGACTTTGTAGAAATGTGTGCTTTTTTTGCCTGGAGTTAATTGAGTTAACACGTTATCTGGCTCAATTATCTCCCAGGCAGAGGGGAGGGATTGTATGCTATGTGTGGGAGTGCCTTACATTGTAAATGTGTTACTATTGTTTGTAAGTTTGTGCCTCTGTCCCCAACAAGGTCCGTGTGGGCGTACACCTTGCTTGGGGACTTGCATAAAAGGCCAGTGTGGCACCATTAAAGAGAGATTTGTTTACTCCTTCATGAAGTCTTGGCTTATGTTTGGGGGATTGGAGAGCTACATTCACTCTGGGGATTGCTATATCACAATATATAATAACTAGCTCTTCCAAGAGCTGTTCCTGCTACGCTCTCTGTACTGCAAGAGGTCTACCCACTGGAAGCTGGATCCTGGTCTTGGTACAGGTTAAGTGGAGAATGGCGAGACCACAACCAAGCTGCTGCGGTTTGTGGGGTTTACGGTGGTTATGGTGCTCCAGTACAGTGCTTATGGTACTCATAAGTACTAGGAAGCAGTGATTGACGGAGGTACCCAGTCGGGGTGCCAGGCGGTCCATCACACAAAGCTCCAGGGCCTGACGGTATTAATCCATGAGTACATAGTTACATAGGTTGAAAAGAGACGTGTCCATCAAGTACAGCCTTCCTCACATTTCTTTTTGCCCTTGATCCAAAAGAATACAAAAAAAAACAGTTTGAAGCACTTCCAACTTTGCAACTGTAACCTCCGTCAAGGACCGGTTCCTAGCTGGAACAGGGGGCAAACCGAGCACTTCTGCCCACAGTCGCCGTAGTTTGACTGGGGCCCTGGAACCACTCCTTCCTGGAGCCGAATGGGGAATTAGCTCTGGTCCTTACAAGGACTTTCCCCGTTGAATCCCATGCAAGCTGGAACAGACACAGGAGTAAATCTTCTTTCCCTCCAATAACAGGATGACACAGTTTTGGAGTGTAAGCTGGAATAGCTTGCAGGGGATTCAACGGGGAAAGTCCTTGTAAGTACTAGAGCTAATTCCCCATTCGGCTCCAGGAAGGAGCGGTTCCAGGGTTCCAGTCAAGTCACAGCGACTGTGGGCAGAAGTGCTACGGTTTGTCCCCTGAGCCAGCTAGGAAGCGGTCCTTGGCGGTCCTCCATTACCTCAACAAACTAGGGAAAAAAATCCCTCTTGACCCCAGAATGGCAGTCAGATTTATTCTTGGATCAAGAAGCTTTTACCCTACAGTTCAAAAATTATATCATTGAATATTATGTTTTTGCAAGAATGCATCTAGTTGATGTTTAAACATCTGTATGGACTCTGATAAAACCACTTCTGCAGGCAGAGAATTCCAAATCCTTATTGTTCTTATGGTAAAACAAAAAAAAAACATTCCTTTGCCTTAGACTAAATCTTCTTTATTCCAGTCTAAACGCATGACCTCATGTCCTATGTATAGTTCTGTTTATGAATAGATTTCCACACAATGGTTTGTTTTGGCCCCAGATATATTTGTATAATGTTATCATATCCCCTCTGAGGCAAAGTTTTTCTAAACTAAAGAGGTTTAAATTTGTTAAACTTTTTTCAAAGTTAAAATTTTCCATTCCTTTTATTTTTTTTTGTTGCCCGCCTCTGCACTTTTTCCAGTACCATAATATCCTTCTTTAGAACAGGTTCCCAAAATTGCACAGCTTATGTGTGGTCTTACCAGTGATTTATATTATATTCTCATCCCAAGAATTAATGCCCTTTTTCATGCATGACAATACCTTAGTGGCCTTAGTCATTGCTGATTCACATTGTTGCATAGTTTGTGGTCTATAACAATTGCAAAATCCTTCTTGTGTGTTGTTATCCATAATTCGCTTCCATTAAGGGTATACATTGCTTGTGCATTCTCTAACCCAAAGTGCATAACTTTGCATTTTTCTACATTACATTTCATCTGCCCTTTGAGTGCCCAGTCCCCCAAGCTATCTAAACCGCGGTCACAGGGGTCGCAGCTGCAACCGGGCCCAGCCCACCAGGGGGCCCAGCTGCCCTGCGACCCGGGTATGACTCTTTTCCTGGGGGGCCCTGGAGCTGGCCACCTCAGGGCCCTCCGAGGCTGGCAGTGGTGTCTGTTTTCCCAGCTCCCTTGCGTGCACCGCAGTGATGCCGGAGCTGAACAGGAGGATCAGTGCTCCCTTGCCGCCTGCAGGACCAGCTGCCCATCAGCCCCACTGGACCCCAGGGAAATCTGGAATCCCCTCACCATCCGAAAGGTAGGGAGGCTGGAGGATTACATTTAATAAAAAAAATGTTAGTGTGTTGTTAGTTTTTGTGTGTTACTGTGTGTGTGTCTGTTACTGTGTGTGTTAGTTGAGTGCAGGGCCGGCGCATCCTGTTAGGCGGACTAGGCAGCCGCCTACGGCACCACTTGGGAAGGGGCACCGCCAGGAGCGCCGGCCCCCCTCATGCTGCAGCTGCCCGAGCACTCTGCAGAGAGCCTCAGGCGGCTGCAGCTTTGCCCAGGCTGGTGCGTCCATGAGGGCACACTGCCCAGGCGCAGCATGAGGAGAGGGGCTGACAGGAGGGAAGCGCTCAGCGCTCACTGCTGTCACTCCCTCACTGTAGCATGGCCGAGCCCTGTATGGTCCGTGGGTACAGGGAGCATCTGTCTCCTGTACCCGGCCGGACTAACAGGAAGTGCACACTGAGTGTCCACTTCCTTTTAGTCCGGCCGGGTACAGGAAACAAAAGCTTCCTGTATTCATGACCATACAGAGCTCGCCACGCTACAACAGAGGTAGGGATGGGGAAATGAAGGGGGAAAAGAAATTGACAGGGGAAGATATTGATGGGGAGAAAGAAATTGACAGGGGGAAAAAATTGATGGGAGAGAAAAAATTGACAGGGAGGGGAAGAAATTAATGGGGTGAAAGAAATTGACGGGGAAGAAAGGAATTGATGGGGTGGGGAAGAAATTGACAGGGGATAGAAAAGAAATTGACAGGGGAGAAAGAAATTGACCAGGAGGGGGACAAATAAATTCACGGGGAGAAAGACATTGACGGGGAGAAAGACATTGACAGGGGGGGGGAAGACATTGACAAGGGGAGAAAGAAATTGACGGGGAGAAAGAAATTGACAGGGGGTGAGAGTGACAGGGGAGGGAGGGAGAATGAGAGTGGGGAGGGGGAGAAGAGAGTGACAAGGGAGGGGGGAGAAGAGAGGGACAAGGGAGGGAGAGGGGGGAGAAGAGAGTGACAAGGGAGGGGGGAGAGATTGACATCCATCACACACACACACACAATCACACACAATGCACCCCTTGCACACAGAAAAACCCACAATGCATTACACACAGAATGCATTACACACAAGCAATGCAACCCTTACACACAATGCACCCTTACACACACAGAAACACACAATGCATTCCTTACACACAATCAATGCACCCCTTACACATGCTCAATACACCCCTTACAGACGCACACACTGCCTCCCGTACATATACAGAAACACACCTTATACATACAAACACAGATTCACACAATGCATTCCTTACACACATATCAGGACATCCTTTAGACACTCCACCCCCTGTGAACAAACTCATTGGTGGAACATGAAGGTGGACCATGGGACCCAGACCTTGAGCTGTGTAAAGGGCCCCCAAAAAAAGGAGCTGCTTCCCGTTCTCCCAGAACATTGACTTTTGTGACCACAGTTACAAACAGCCTCCAGAGATCCTGTTCTACACCAGACCAGTGGAGCCAGACTGCAGCTAGAGCCCATCATCATCCTCATCTGGTTGTAAATAGGCAATCTAGTATATTATTCGTGGCACTAATCTCTAATTTACCTCACATTAAAGAAACACTATAATGTTGCATAATGCAGCTTAATGTAGTGGTTCTGGTGTCTATAGCCTGTCCCTGCAGGCCTTTTAATGTAAACACGGTGACACTGCAGCACTGGCGTTAGTTAACATGGCAGATCATATGGGTGGGGCATTGCGATGTCACATGGGGGGACGGCAAACTTTCCTTGCACCGGCCCTGGTTGTGTGTTAGTTTGTGTGTGTCTGCTAGTAAGTGTCAGTGTGTGTGTGTCAGTGAGTGTGTTACTGTATGTGTCTGTTACAGAGTGTGTTAGTTTGTGTGTCTGTTAGTGAGTCTTTTAGTGAGAGTCTGTATTTTGTAAGTGAGTGTGTATGTGTGTCTGTCAGCGAGTGTGCATGTATGTCTGTCACTGAGTATGTGTCTGTCAGTAAATGTGTGTGTCTGTTAGCTGGTGTGTATGCATCTGTTCGTGAGAGTGTGTGTGGTTGAAACCCCTTCAGCACTTACTGATGTGGATATCAATCAATAAATTGATTATCTTGCATATCTGCCCCATGCCAAATTAAAGAAATACTGCGTGCACGCTCCTGAAGTAATTCACACCAGACACAAGTTTCGGGTTAATGAAAAACTTGAGGAATGTTTATTCAGGGGGGACGACATGCCCCTTTTAAAGCAAAATTACATCATAAGCATTGTCAGAGATAACATGAAATAATACATCAATAATTGGTTAGGTGTTAAGTGGTTCATTTAATGCTCTGCCTACTGAGGGTGATGTCACTGGAATCCTGGAGGTCTCCCCCAGATTCTAGCACCATCTTGTTAATGAGGGTGTTAGTTGAAGTTAAAGGGGAAACTCCCTAGCGGCCATTTTAGGTAAATCACATAGAAAGTTGAATAATGCTGATTGTAGTTATGTTTGAGTAAATAGGCATTTTACTAATATAAATTGGGTTAATATTTTTGTCCACAGCACTCTCCCCTTAAAATGACTATTTACGAAAAGAAGGAAGGAAAAGACAGCCAACTACTAGCTAACCCTAATAATGTCCCTAATTGGCTGCAGCTCATCTGTTTTAACAGGCCTCGAACACTTCACTGCACAGGTATCCCGCAGCGGCTAACCCACTACATCTCCTGCGTCAGACTTTTGCCCGTAGAGACAGATGCTATCCCTATACTGTCCCTATATAGTGGTAGTAGTTGTTGTCTGTTTGAAATTGAGGGACTGAAGTGGTGTGTGTGGATTGTCACAGTCTATATCATCAGCATCTTGGTGTAGGTATATGGTGCAGTCACTGGTCTGGTCTACGGTCTTTTGTAAGTATCTTTGCACACAAGGTACCACACAACAGGTTAGGAAGAGGAAGAAGATCATTACGGTAAGAACTGCCATGCCTATTTGGAAAAGAGTCCTTTGCCATCCACTCATCCATCCAAACCATTTATCCCAAGAGTTAGGAACCCCTGAATTTTTCTTTAATTCATCAGAGATATTTTCTAATTTCTCTATGGCCATGGTTATCTTACCATTAGGACCGGTATTATCCGGGATAAAAGTATATCATCGTGTCAGGGAGTATTTTACATACGCCCCTCTTTTCAGCCATGATCATGTCTAAGGCTATTCTATTTTGAAATGTCATGTGAGAGGTAGCCTGTAACTGTTCGGCTAAGCCCTGTAGGGCATCTTGAGTGTAGTTGACAAATCGTTGTTGGTTGTAGTAGATGTAATTGATCCAGTTAACATTTTTATTAGCAGTGATAAGTGGGATCAAGGATTTGAATCCTGCTGCCACTTCATCTCTGGCTTTGAACGCATTTGGTACCCCCCCCTAGGTACTCCAATGGCATCTATATATACATGTGGGTCAAAACTACCTCGGATAGGACTTTCTCTTTTTACTCTAATATGTGTATGTGATGAATCGTATGGACCTTGGTGGTTGTCGGGGAAGATGTGTATGGGCATGATAACTTTAGTTAGAGTACATTCTCCCCATCATAAGCCAGTCATTTTTTACCTAAGTTGCATGTCACCACATAACCAATAAATGTCTCCCACAGATTTAATCTGATTCATTAATAATGTCGTGGGTGGATTCCGGTAAATTGCACAGTAACCAGAAGGGAATTTGCCTACAAATTTACCTGTGGCTCCATGCATTGTATAGCAAGTGTAATTACCTGGGTACACGGTGACTCCATCTGGTGGTCTGGTGTTCCCTTGAGTAATTGGGTAAGCCTTCTTCCATGACTCACATGCTGATAAATTCACAATCGTTTATGCATAGAGGCTTAAGAAACATGTCTCAACATCTGGAGGTAAATTTAGAGGCACTGTACCTAGGTGGGGTCTAGCTCCACCACAAACATAACAGTTGGTTTTATTATGAGAGTTAGCATTATACCTCATCCATTCAATCCATAAGTTAGTATCTTAAAAAACAGTTTCCACAGCCATAGTGTCTTCAAATGTGGGATTGGCAATAGCCACCATGTCCTTAAGAGTCTTGATGTGTGGTTTCAGGGGATTTACTGTCATGTGTGTTGACCCTACCCAGTCAGGTGATGTAAGCATGTCTTGCAAATAAAATGTTCTCAACTTGTTGTATGAGCCACCCCCTTTCCAGTACATTCCCCAGCATCACCTGGGCTGGGATGTTCTATGTTTAAGGTTAATTTTATTTGAGTAGACCCTCTTGGTTTACACAAGGTATAACAAAAGTTTCCCATGTCTGTCAACTCGGTCTAAGGCACTCTCTGGTCTGTAACCTCATGGTCGGCCCGTGTTCTAACCCGCTGCATTCCATGAACGACAGTGATGTCCCCAATGACCGCCCGTCACACAGATGTATGGGTCCTTCTTGCTTGGTATGTCTTTGTATATTGCTGAGTGTTGTGGTTCTGGGAAAGTACAAGTAACAATATCACAGTAATCAAAAGTAAATGTAGCCACTTGTGTGTTGGAAGAGTTGTACCAAAATGTGTAAACATGATCATCTTTGGTAATAGCAACTTCTTAGGCCTCTAAAAGGCCTAGCAGCAGACATAAATATAAAAGGCTCATGTTGGGGTGGGATCTGCTTCCTCTGGATCAGGAACCTTCTTACAGTGTGAAGCGTGTATCCAAGTGTTCTTCCCAGCCAACTTTACAGAGGTAGCTGTAGTCAGTAGTACTTGGAATGGACCATCAAACCTTGGCTCAAGAGTGTGTTTTCTTAAGAACTTCTTGACCATAACCCAATCACCAGGTAATAACTTGTGCGTGCCTGTATTGGATTCTGGATCTGGAATAGAAGAAAACACCTGTGCATGGATTTTGGTCAAAGCATGAGAGAGTGCAGTTATATAATCTACCATTGCATCTGACTGGAGTTGGAGTTGTTGTGGAAAGTAACAGCCTAACCTGGGTGCTGTCCCAAACAAAATCTTGTAGGGGGATAAGTTAAACCTCCCTCTTGGGGTGTACCTTACACTAAAGAGTGCTATGGGGAGACTCTCCGGCCAGGGCAAGTTGGTTTCTTGCGACATTTTAAGCATTCTGGCTTTCGGAGTGCCATTCATGCGTTCTACCTTACCACTACTCTGTGGGTGATAGGGCATGTGGAAAGCAAGGGTCACCCCCAGTGCTGCCTAGATTTCTCTGGTCAATAACGCAGTGAAAGATGTACCTTGGTCACTTTCAATTACTTCGGGGACTCTGTATCTGCAGATAATTTCGGTGAGTAGGTGTTTAGCTGTAGTTTTTGCAGTGAGGTTGGCAACTGGGAAAGCTTCTGGCCATCCTGAAAACATATCCACTATGACCAGTGTGTACTCATAACGGCCGCTCTTCGGCATTTAGATACGATCAATTTGGATCCTTTGGAAGGGATACTGTGGTTTGGCCAAATGATTCGTTGCAGCTTTGATTATTTTCCCTGGGTTATATTTAGCACAGATAATACAGGATCGGCAGTAATTTCGAGTCAAGTTAGTGATCCCAGGTGCTTCGAAATACTTGTCAATCAAGGAGTTCATGAGTGCTTTGACAAATGTGCTGGTCCATGAGCCCATTGGACAACAGCCGGGTACATATTCTTGGGTAAACAGAATTTGAGATTGATTGTATATATATCATTCTGGATGATATCCAGAATATCATATCTTTCCAGCTTTGTTTTTCCTGTGGGGTAGCAGTGGCCTGTTGCTCTCTTAGGAATCTGAGATCAGTGGGTAGGGTTTGCATGGTGTAAATAGGGGTCCTTTCAACGGACACTCTTCTGTCCACTTCCCAATTCTGGCGTGCTGCATCCTTAGCTGCTTGGTCGGCCAGATGGTTACCATGGGCTTCTTCTGAGTTCAATTTCTCATGGGCTCTGACTTTTAATATAGCTACTTCTTCTGGCATTAGTAAGGCGTCCATCAACTCATTGATGGTTGCACCATGTTTCACAGGAGTACCTGTTGCTGTAAGGAATCCCCTGGTCTTCCAGATTAAGCCAAAATCATGCGCTACTCCTAGGGCATACCTGGAGTCTGGGCAAATGTTGACACGCTTTCTTCTGATATTCTACATGCCACCGTAAGGGCTATTAACTCGGCTTCTTGTGTTGATTTGGAGGAGGGGAGTGAGGATGCTTGAAGTATTTGGTCTTCTGTGGTGACTGCATACCCGATATGGTATTGACCCTGTTCATCTGCGAATCTGGAACCATCCACAAACAGCGTGCAGTCAGGGTTCGATAAAGCAGTTTCGTGCACTGTGGGAAGATGGGTAGTTTCCATCTTCATCTGTTCAAAGCAATCATGTGGAGCTTCTGGGTCTGGTTCTGTAGGAGGCACGTCTTCACCTATCTCTGCATGATATCGGGGGTAACCAACAGTTTTGCAGTTTATGGTCTTCTTATGGAGTTGTTCTTGCGTTGCAGTGCTTCATTCCTTGGCCATCGACCAAAGTTCTTTCCATGAGAGATCTGGAGACTTGGTGAAAGAAACATGAGGAACAGCCACCTCCCAATGGTGATATAAATTGGATACCTCCATAGGTAGACAGACTAGGATGACAATGTTTCCTTTGGAGTCACAGAATAGGTCTGTCAGTGTAATCTGTACCTCCACCAGGCTAAGTAATTCTTCTTCATAGTATGAATCAGGACCTGAAGTGTCTCAAAACCACAGGGTGAAATGTAATTGGGTCTCGGGTTGTTCATCATGTGGAACCGTGGGTTTTTCAATTTGTAGTTCCATGTAAATGTCAGGATGTATATCCAAACTGTACCAGTATTGTGGGGCTCCCCCCTTGGGAAGTGGCAGAAGAGTGGCTGGATTCAAAGAGTAACATTATTATTATTATCATTATATTTATAGGGCGCCGTCAAATTCCACAGCGCTTTACAATGGGTGTACGAACAGACATGTAGTTGTAACCAGACAAGTTGGACAAACAGGAACAGAGGGGTTGAGGGCCCTGCTCAATGAGCTTACATTCTAGAGGGAGTAGGGTAAAATGACACAAAAAGGTAAGGATAGTATTAGACTAGTGACAGTTGCAGAAGAGGAATCAGTCAGGAGCTATTAACAGTTTAATTGATACGCTTTTATGAAGAAGAACTGGATCTGGGGAGCTGGTGGAGGAGAAAACAGATCATTGCTAAACTGTGAAAAATAAAAATTGGAGATAATTGGAATATCAAGAGCAAGTGAAGGTGTTTTATGGGTTAAGAAAGTGCAGGAGTGTACTAATAAGAGGCAGGTTTTATTAACCTAACTAAAATGTAGGTGTGACAGACAATCTATAAATGTAATAATGAGCATGTGGTGGGATGGTGTGGGGAGGGGAGGCTTGCTCACTGAAGGAGTGGGCTTGCAAAGTTGGGGAATCAGGCTGTTGAATAAAGAGATGTGAGGGTCAGAGAGCTTGCAATAAGGGAGGGGGAAATGTACCTAGGTACAGAGATGAAGAGATGGATATTTAAATAAAAACAAACATATCAATAAGAAAAGGGAAGGATCAGAGGTCAGTCACAAATCAGAGGGGAAATAGAGGAATGCATATAGGTGAATAAAACAATTACAGAGAGGGAGAGAAGTTACCAGGGTCGCAGCTTGGGATGGATTAAATGTGACATACATTGACGGGGCTCCTTCCACTGCTGATGAGGCAGTAGCTGCAATGGCCTGTCTCTGGGAAGTTCTGTTGTTTGAGGGACGGAATGGGCTAAACTCTGGCACATTGTCGTTCCCGGGTGGGACTGGGAGACCATGGTAACTAACAACTTCAAGTGAGTTGGGAGCTGGAGCCATCGGGGTGTCGGAACCGGGAGGACTGGGTCTGGGGAGTGACTAATTGAGACGTAGTGGGATGGAAACCTGAGGCAACGGGAGAAGCGTCGGCGGCCTGAGGTTGTCCTGATGTGACAGACTCATTTGTCCCAACAATCATGAGTGGGTAACTGGGGGTGGTTATCAGAGGGGCAGGGATGGGTGGTGGACCGGGTGAAGGTGTGGGTTGAGTAAGCTGAGACAGGTGATTGGAGAGAGCGGAGATGAGTGACGTAAGATCGTAGGAGGAAACACCAGGTTAGAGGCGGGAGGGGGAGGAGAATCCGGAACAGAAACAGGAGGAGCTAGTTGGGGAGAAGGAGGTGGAGGAGAAATAGGTGGAGTAGTGAACGAAACTAGAAGGGCGGAAATAAGTGACATAGCCTTGGGATCAGGGGAAGGGTGGAAATAAGTGACGTAGCCTTGGTATCAGGGGGAGGTTCTGACATGGGAGCTGCAGTAATGGAAGAAGGTGGAACAGTGGGAGTGGAGGTAGGGGCGAGTAAAGCGGAGAGGGTGGAGATAAGGGATGGAAGATCACGAGGAGAGGAGGGAGGATCTGAAATGGGGGCAGGAGGAGTAGGAAGGGGTGGAGAATTAGGAGTGGAAGTAAAGGCAAGTGAGGCAGAGAAGGCGGAGATAAGGGATGAAAGGTCAAGGGGAGGAGAGGGTACAGGAAGAGGAGAAGGTTCTGGAATAGGAGCAGGAGGAATGGAAAGGGGTGGGGAAGCAGGAGTGGAGGTAGAAGTGAATGAAGCGGCGAGGATTGAGATGAGAGAGGAAAGATTGAGGGGAGGAGAGGATACAGGAGGTGGCGAAGGTTCTGGAATGGGGGCAGGATGAGTGGAAAGGGGTGGAGAGGTAGGAGTAGGGGAAGAGGTGAGCGAAGCGGTGAGGGCTGAGACAAGCGGGGAAAGTTCGAGGGGAGGAGAGGATACAGGAGGTGGAGAGGGTTCTGGAATGGGGAAAGGAGGGGTAGAGAAGTAGGGGTGTGGGTAGGAGTGAGCGCAGCGTTGAGGGCTGAGACGAGAGGGGAAGGATAGAGAGGGGCAGAAGATACAGGGGGTGGAGAAGGTTCTGTGATGGGAGCAGGAGGAGTGGAAAGGGGTGGAGAAGTAGGAATGAAGGTAGAAGTGAGTGCAGTGTTGAGGGTTGAGACAAGAGATGAGAAGTCGATAGAGGAAGAAGGGAGGGAATTGGAAATGGGAAGGGGAGAGGAATCTGGGACGGGGATCGGAGGGGCAGCAGAGAGTGGGGGAACCGGAATGGGAGTGGCAGGAACAACAATAGGGGGAGGAATCGTGGGTACACCAGGGGATATCGTAGGTGATGGCAATGAGAAAACCGGGGCAGAAGTAAAAACAGGGAGAGGGACCGGTGAGGTCTCAGAAGGAATAATGCATGTCGGGGGAGTGGGAACAGGGATTGGAACAATGGGAGGTATGGTAGTGAGCGATGAGGAGGAGACAGTATCGGGAGAAGGAATAGGGAAGGATAGTGATGGTGAGGGGGCGACATCAGTAACGGCCTGTGGTAGTGGAGAAGAGGGGACGACATCAGTAACGGCCTGTGGTAGTGGAGGAGAGGGGACATCAGTAGGGAGGGGGGCAGGAAGTGGGGAGGGAACGGAAATAGTGGGTGATATGGCTGATGGTGATGGGAGAGGAAAAGAATAATAGTAGGATCCGTCCGCCCCAAGGACGGGGTACAGAGGGGTGGGAGTAAGAGGCCCTTTGGCAACGGAAGGTGGAACAATAGGGGGCGGAGATGGGGCAGTGTCTGAAGAGGCGGGACATGGTTCGT